GATTTGAGGACCAAACCATTAGGTTTCTTCAACCACTCCATATTCACTCAACTTTAACCTCTACATTTACTCCTCCTTTAATAGCCAATAATCATATTGTTGGATTAAAGAGTGCAATTGTGTAACCTCCACAACTATTGAATAATTCATTTGATGGGAAGACATACAGGCTAAAAGCTTTCAAAAGTGAGTTCGAATTAATCCAAATTCTTTCCTACTCCAGTTTTGTAAGAATCTCTTACATTCTTTTAGTTTAGAGGTGATTACTTAAAAAGATGAAAATCCATGGATTTGCAAATTCCAAGCATATAGAATCACATCATGGCAACCTGGATGCTTAGTCCAAAAAAGGTAAGAAGTGGAATTGAGGCTTTTGGTTGACGGGGTGGTAATTATGGGTAATTAAGTTGATGGAATGAGGGGGCAATGTGTGGTAGGTGATAAATAGTTAAATACTAGAGTTGGGGTATAATTGTGACCAACTTTTGGTTATAAAAGCATGCTCTAACCGTTCTAGAACTTTTGTTGGACCATATTATCCATTAGTCCCAAGTGAAAGAGAGCCCACAAAGTCCAAATGTAGGAGGCGAAAAAAATTGAATGAATTTGTTCATGGATTTGGATAATTTGGGCTTCCTTCTCTAAGGCTTCGTTTGGTTTGTGGGAGATTTGGGTGGGATGGGATGGGATGGAATGGAAAAGTGTAAAAATTTAACTTTCCATTGTTTGGTTTTATATAGGAAAATAGTAGGAAAATTATCATCACAAAACAGAGTTCTCGGATGTTCAATCCACAAAGTTCTCAGAGGTTCAATCCGCAGAGATCAATCCGTCGCTTGATTTCCCTTCATCACCAGTGAACGCCTTGGTGAGGATCGTGCGAAACTGGAATCCCGTGTCTGTGAACCCAGATCTAAGTTCTACCATGGCAGAAAACCTCCGATCTATGTTTGCATTAATCTGGGTTCTACCATGGTGGAAACCTCTTCAATCTGTGTCTGTGAACTCAGATTTAGGTTTTATGATCTATGTCTGCGAGCGCCAGAAGGTAGAAGGGAAGAAGATTACCAACAGCGATGGTGGCGGTAAAAGGTAGAAGGGCAAAGGAGATTACCAGCAATGGTGGTGGCGGTGATTACCAGCAGCGGTGGTGGCGATAGAAGGTAGAAGGGCAAACCCAACGGCGGTGGTGGTAGTGATTACCAACAGCGGTGCTTACCAGAAGGGAAGGAGAAAGTGAAGGTGGGGCAAAGGATGAGGATGAAGAAACTCGAGTTTTTTCCACCAGGGTTGCACTGTTTTGGTCCAACCCCGATTACTCAATTTTGGGATCTCGCATCCCACTTTTTTCTCATCCCATCCCCCTATTTCCCTTGAAACAAATGAGAGAAAAATGAATATTTTTAAAATATTCCCTTTTTCTCATCCCTATCCCACAAACCAAAGGAAGCCTAATAGTTCTTATGATCTTGATAAAATACATGTCACCTATATAAGAATTACCAAAATGTTGATTGGAGATTAGAGATGTATGATTATATTAGGATTCCAACAACAAAGTAAGCCACCCAACTGACCCTAACTTCTTTGTACAGGTAGTGGTCAAAATGTAATTTCATTGCTAGAGCAGCATTATTGGCAGCTAAGAGATTGGTTTCAAAGAAAGTGAAATATTAGGAATTTTACAGAGTTTTTAGAGAGGAATCGAATTGTTTTTGGGTTGTTGGCTCCTTTAATGTTGCAAGATATGATAATCAATTGAGAAGTAATACAAATACAAATAGCTAATTAAATAAAGTGTAAAAACTAAGGGTTCGTTTGGTGTACAGTTAGAATCAGAATCGGAATGGTCTATTTCCATAGTATGTTTGATTCAAAAAAGAATGAAAATAAGAATTAAAATTAGCATGAATAGGATTTTATTCCCAAAGAAAAGGCAGGGAATGACCATTCCCTCAAATGAGAAAATGTCATTCCAAGAAGAACAAAACAGTTGGAATTGAAATAGCCCATTCCAATTCCGATTCTAAACGCCTATTCCCGCGAATCAAACTAAGCCTAAATGTTGAATTAAGAAAACTAAAAATCCATATCAAGTTACCTGGGCTGATAATGTGGGAACAAGGAAGGGGACATTAGCCAAATCCCGAAAGCCTGATTTAGTGATATAATGCGCAAGACACTTGGCTTCATTATTGGGAAGAAGCAGACACATACTTTGAGAGTATAGTGCATGAAGAGTACTTAGAAGCTGAGAAGAACCACTTGGCATTGCATCCATGTATCTGGCTTGGCTGAGTTAGGCGAGTTGACTCATTGGTATGAGGGTGTTATTGAGTTGTAGGGATACCTGTCACTACCACACCTGAGAGATCAAATCAGCCCCCCACATAATTGCCCCTCACAACGTCCCACAGCATATCTCTGCCGTATATTGGGAATATTTTTTGATGAGATCATCATTTTTTATATTATCATCGAAAAATGTTTCCAATACATAGCAGAGATATACTGTGGAACGTTGTTGGGGGCAATCTTGTGGGGGCTGATTTGATCTCCACACCTGAAGTAAGTAGTTATTGGAAGAATCTAGGCGCCATGGGTGCTTATGGCCTCCTGAACCATCTTCAATATCTTCCCCTAAAGGGGTGAACACCGGTATATTGAAAGGTTTTTCCGGCTTACATTCAGCTCAAAGCCAATCACTAGGAAAGTCAATAAACTTATTCTTGATAAACTTTTTGTCATCTCTAATCTCTGGATTAAGGCACTTGCAATTGTTCTACATATGACCTACCAAACCACAGTTAGCACAAATAGTTCTAGGTAGTTGCTTATAGTAGTACCTTAACCACATTGGCTTACCTTAGTAAAAGATAGAAGTGACTGATGTAAAATGCCTGCGTAAGATCAACTATGATTTTCTTCTTAGGGCACACTTGTTTTCTAGTAAGTGGGTATGGGTAAGTTAATGGGTCCCATAGAAAAGAAAGAAACCCATATTTTATTCGTGTTTTAGAATTAGTGGATCTCATAAAAAATAATGATTCTTGATCAACTTATTTACCTTAATAATGGCACTTTATGGATAAAATAGTTATTGTATAACTTTACTCAAAAAACAAAAAAACACTGGTAAGTATGCTTATTCCGGCAAGTTTTTCCAAAAAATATTTGCATGAGTAAGAGCATTTAACCAAGTAAATGACTTATTATTTAAAGAACGAGGCCTTTAACTTATAGGCCATGAGTAAGATGGCCTGTTGGAATCTTCTCCTAGTTAGGAATGACAGTACCTACATATCAAAAAACAAAGCATACTCTTGAATCCTCGGCCATCCCTCTTGGGATCTTATGTATCTGTAGCCATGCATATTTTTTGCATCCACACATAACAATATCCAGCTCGACGTATAAAACCATGGCCCACCTTCAAGAGCTGTGTTTTTCTCACTTACCTCTTCAAAGACAAGCTCTGTATTGCCCCCATCAATTAATGAAGTTCATTGCTACTATTGAAGTTAAACCCCAAAGAGTCTTCACATGTTTTTCTAATGTTTCTTTGCTTATCTGCTAGCTGTCTGGGGAACATTCGACCCTTTAAAGTAAGATCCGAAACTTTCACTACTTCAATAGGGTCAATATTTGGGATTCATTGATCTTGATCACCAGACCAGATACTGTAATTGTTTGAGCAAAGTAATCCTGGAGATCTTGATCCTCATGTGCATCTTGGGTTTCAGCTATGAAAATCACTTCTTTACCTTTGGAAGTGCCTGCCATGGAGGAATGAGGAATCTAACTTCAATCCAGGCTTACTCCATGTTCTGATTCAACCAAATTTCTTTTTTGTTTTTGTCCTTCCCTCTCAAAGTTTAAATTAATCCAATAAATGACCAGCATTGAAATTATTAATCACATTATTGCATATCCTACTCCCCCAATTTCAAGCTCTCTGTGTTCTTGAACACCATGTATAAAACCCAAATAGCAATATGTTCAACTTCAAGCAGCTAAGGCTAAGTAAATGGTTCCCAACCATTAAATTTCTTAGGGTCCGTTTGGTTCACAGTATGAATTGGAATCAGAATAGTTTATTCCCATGTTGGAATTCCGGCTAAGAATTGAAATCAACTGGAATGAAAATGGGATTCTGATTCTACTGCAAATGACATTCTATCGGCCATTCCTTCAAATGGAGGAATGACATTCTACCAGGAATTGGAAATGGGATTCTGATTCTGCCCAACTAAACAGTTGAAATCGGAATAACCTATTTCAATTCCAATTCCAGACCCCTATTCCCACAAACCAAACTAGCCCTTAATTTCAAAAGCTAGTAAAGAAAATTACTTGACTTTCTGAGTCATTTTTATTTCAATTTATTTTATTTTTTTAATTTTAAAAACATTACTGATTAACCATTCAGACCGAATGTCAAACCATCAATCTAAAATCGGTGGCCAAAGAAGTTCCATTTTTGGGTCGGATTTTACTTTTTTAAGACTTTGGAATGTTGAGCATCAGCCACACAATTCCAACTTGCAAGCATGGTTCAAAGTATTGATATGTCTGTGTATGGGCAGAGGCATATCGGTACTTAAATACACACGAAATTAGCTTTTTTTTTTTCAAATTTTGGTTTTTGAGGAGTTAAAAAGGATTTTTTTTTATTAAAAAAGGATGAGATCCCAAAACACCTTTCGGAACCCAAAAGATACAATAATACGGGGCGTATCGTATCGCTTTTTTGAACCTTACTTGCAAGTTGTGCTACTTTACACGCTCGCCAAGGGGCCTTTTTTCTTTTCTTTTGATATATAAAAGAATTCCTTTAGAGGGAATATCTTCAGACTTCAGTCTTGCCTAAACTTAGCAATTAGTAACTAAAACATGTAGATGCACAGACAACAGTTACCTTCACTTCAATCATTCAATGGTTGGGCACCTTCAAATTAATCAAGAAAAAGCAATGCAGCGTTACTTGCTAACAACATACGAGCAGGCGAAAGGTGCAAAAATATAACAGCTCCTTTTCGTACGTGGTGTTAAACCACTTGCCTAGTTTTCCAAGATTCAAGCTCAACTCCAAACAAAGAAAATAATGAACAATTAGAACTTTAAAATAGAAAAGAAAATGTTTTTAAGGGTTACAGCGAGAATATTCACAAGTAATATGATACAGTCAAGAGCTTGGCTATTTATAATTGCATATGTACAGCATGTATAGAAGGATCAGAACTCTATGCCACTATTTAATTGAATAGAGAACGAGGGTCTGCCAACATTGCTGAGAGGGGTTTCAACTCTAAAAACTACACCAGAGCTCCCAATATTCCCATTCCACTTCGACCTGCCAAGCTATAATACACAAGAGAATAATTCAGATACATTTTAGGGAAATATATATTATTCACAAAACATCACCGATAAATAAGGACACAAACAAACGTATATTTAAAGCTTATAACTAGCCCTGCTGAGAGAGATTTCAACTTTAAAAACTATACCAGAGCTCCCAATATTCCCATTCCAAACTATTACTATAAACTTTAAACATACCGTATGCATCAGTGAGTTTAATTCCTTCATTCAAAACTATTACTAGAAAAATGATAAGAAAATGGCTATAGTATAGTTATAAGCTTATAACTAGCCCAAGTTGAAAAAATTCAGTGTCTGGAAAATAGTATCATCAAAGGATCATATGATTCGTGAACTATGAAGAAAGTTCTTGCCACCAAATGTTGGCATACCATTCCACTAAAAAGCAGATCCCCTCTAAGAATCATTTTCAAAAAGATAAAATCATCTAGTTGATTTTTCTGAGTTTGCCTTCGACTTGATACCATCTTTTGTGTGTGGGGGGGGGGGGGGGGTGCCAACAATTCCACTGGAGGGTAATCTTGGTTACTTACAGATATTGATGCAAAAGCAGAAGGATAAGATGCATATGCACAGCCACAGATTAAATTCAGTTTGTCCTTCACAGTGTGAATGACCTCTGCCTGCAACCCAGGATTGCTTCCACCAAAAGTGGGGCATATGCTGAAGAGTTAAAAGAAACACAGAATAAATAATAAAAAAAGGAACAATTAATAATGCTTATAAGAAAAGGAAGAATCGTGTGAAACTCAATAAAGATATATCAGACCCAAAGGTGCTTAAAGGCTTGCCAAAAGGTGGTTTTGCCACTTCTCTTTGCAATATATATCGGGATGAGATCCCCTACCTCACCTGGGGTGGAGGGTGGGGGGTTGGGGGTTGGGGGTTTGGATTCTGGGTTTGGGGGAAGGCTATCCCCCATTAATAAGTTATGTAGGTCATCATTCAAAAGGCTATAGTACTCAACAAAAAGTAATGTTAGATATCTTATATGCAAGAAATCACGGCAAGAATACAATTAGAGATGAAATAATACAAGCATCCATTACACACCTTAATTGGACAGTTGGTCTCATCATGAGACCAGATCTCTTCCAAGCTAAAGCTTGTGAAAGGCCAAGGGAAAAGGATTTATCAGGCCACTGCACCATCGGTGTAATGCACGTTCCCCACTTGTTCTGCAAGAAAGATAAAACATTAATATTTTGCTTCCAATAGAGAAAGCAACATCAGGAGTAATTGTGATAACATGATCCCTTTCAACAAATCCGTTGTGCATAAGACGCCCAATGGCACTAATGGTAAGGTCACCAGACGGAAAAAGAAACAACCATACAAAGTAAAAGGTTCAGCATATAACCTTGCAAGAGTAGCTAAATCTCATTTCCCCTGGGTATTGACCTTGAGCTTGAAGCAGTCCACCAAAAACAGGTAGAAAAGCACTTGAAGTTAGCCCTTCACCAGCTACATAGGTAAACTGCCCATTTGGAAACTGCAAATCCATGAAGGACTGAAACAGAAGATAAAGTTAGATAGTCCATCACCAAGATGCTCCACAGTCATAGGAGTAAGAATTTTTTACAGTTATAATGGTATTGGTTTCAGAAGAGACCGATTTAAATGGTAATCATTAGGAATCACTTGTTTAACCCAGAATACTACAACTTAGGACTCAACGATAACTCAAATAGAGTAGATTTTGGTTGCAGACAGAATACAGGAGACATTGATGTCCACTGATGCTCAGATTTATTGCATCCATACAGAGCTCAATTGTTCAACAAGATGAGACTGAGAAAAGGTCTTGGAATACAGCAGATCAATGTCTAATTAATTTAACTTCTATGAGTGTGAAGGTTGTGCTCATTTCATCTAATAGCACTGTTTTATATGAACTTATAATCAATGTTTCAAAATATCAATCCCATGTATTAGAAAAGAAATCACAAAGATACATTTGGCCAAGAAATGCCAACCATCAAATGCAATCTAAGAACTAAAATGCGTTCTACTAAAAAGATGATAAAGCAAGAGTAACCTTCCAGAGCAGTACTTTATTTTTAGATGAGTTACTGGGAATCTCTATTGCACTGCATACAGAGCATATGATTTGCAAACTATGTGCATGGATATCGTTGCAAGATTTTGGATTCAGCAAGACTGAAAAATAGTCAGGGGACATGAATAGTATAATTTTTTTTTTATCAATAACACTTTCATTAATTCATCAGTAGAAAATTTACAAGTGGAAGACAAACACACTTATCTTCCAAGAGTCACAAAGAACTTCAAGAAATGAAAAAAGAAAATACAAAGACACAAAGACACTAACGTTACAGCTTAGTCCAAAACAAAGAATCCCTTTCTGCCCCTTGTTTTGCTAAACCGTCAGCTAGGGAATTAGCCGATCTTTTAATCCAACATGTCTTAACTTCCATCTCCCGCACCAGCCATTTGAATTTCCTCTTCTCATTATTATACTTCCATAAATCATTTTGATCTTTAGTCA